CAGCGGGAGCGCCGCCACGCTCCCAAGCGGCGCACTCTCCAGTGCGCCACCGGGCTGGCCCCCGGAGGGATTTTTATTTTTCTAAAGGCTCAGGGATTACAGCCTGGTCTTGGGAGGGGTGGATGGTGCAAGGAGGGGCCCCTGTGCTAGGCCTCTCAGGCCCTCTTCTGCAGGGTGGACGTACCTCGGGAGAACCTCAGCCCTTTGCCAGCAAACTCCGTTTTCAGGGCTTCCACGAACTTCTCCCGGATCTTCTCCTTCTGCAGAGCGGAGGGAGCAGATTGGGTCACCTGGCCTTTGTGGCACAGAGAGGCCTGAATCCAGGTCTGTGACTCTGATCCCTGCCAAGGGGGTGTGGAGGGAGGCTGAGGGATGGGGCAACCTGAGTCCCAGTCCGAGTGTCCACCTTGGCAGGGCTCAGTCCTGTCAGCCCCACACAGCTCAACCCCACAAACCCTGGGTCACACATGAGAAATGAGCGTGAGGAGTTCAGACTGGAAGCTGTCAATCAGTGGCAGTGGGTGCTCAGAAAGGGCTCAGCAGGATGCCCTGTGTCTGCTGAGCATCTGCCTGCCTGCGCTGGGATGGGCTGGGGGACTCAGCAGTGCCCAGGGCAGCTCTGCCCCACCCCGCCCCACCCCACTGAGCAGCACCTCTATAAACACGGAGTGGAGGACATTCACTCACTAGCCTGAGGACCCCTCTAGGCCTGACCCTGTTATGGCCATGGAGAGGAACAGCTGTGCTGAGCCTGAGGGGCAGCTGGACATGTAAACCAGCCCGACCAGACATCTGGGCTGCTGTGCTAATGGGGCCAGTGCCACAGGAACCAATGGGTCACTCGGTGTAGAGGCACTGCAGCAGAGGCACGAGGTGGCAGACCCCACCTGGCTCAAGCAGCGGCGAGAGCTGAACAGGACATTCAGCTGACAGAGGGCCTGGAGCCCAGGGTGGGGAGTTTGGACACATCCTGGGGGACCAAGAGCTGCACAGGATTTCAGAGCATGGGAATGGAGTGATTAGTGCTGCCTTTTAGTCAGAGCTGGGGAGGACTGAAACGGAGAGGCAGGCAGTGGCCAGCAGTTCGCAGCCTGGAGAAGTGGTGCAGGGAGGACATGAGCTATACAGCCAGACAGGACCCAGCCTGAGATCAAAGGCAGGCTGTCTAGGTTCCGGGCATGGCTGCTATGCTTCTCAGCTGTGTGACTGTGTGCAAGTCACCTGATCTCTGAGCCTATTTCCTAGACTAAGGAATGGAGAAGTAATGAATGACCCCTGCCTGCTTCCCTCTCGTGGAAAAGCAGAGATGAGGAATGTGAGCCTCCTCCAGCCTTGGCCTTGCCTTCCCAGCAGGTGAGTGGGCCTCAGGGAGGCCAGAGTCCCCACCAGAGGCCGCTCTGTGGGCCCAGGACTAGAGCTAAGTGTGCCCCAAGCTCTGAAGAAATGTTTCCACATGGCCAGCGTGGCTGCACCACCCCTCTCCGGAGAACCAGACTGGTCACTGGACAGTCCTACATGCCAAGTCCAGCCACAGCAGGGACCACCACTGTGACCTTGAGCTGGTCACTTACCATGTGGCCTCAGTGACTTCATCTAAGGAAAAGGACTACTTGTCTCTATCTCAGGGTTGGAAGGACTGGAGGGGACCTGGGCTGGTACAGGGCACTCAGATCAGGAATGTTCATGCCCTTCTAAA